CAGATACTCGTACCACAATGTTCATAGTAGTGGTACTCACAATAGTCAAGATGGAGACAACCCAGGTGCTCAACAACAAATAAGTGAATAAACAAAATAAGGCATATCCATGCAATGGAATATTATTCAGCCACAAACAGGAGCAAAGTTCTGATACATGCTACAACATGGAGAGAACTTGAAAATATTACTCTGAGATAAGCCAGACATAAAAGGACAACTATGATTCCAGTTATATAAGGTGCCTAGAATAGGCAGATTCAAAGAAAATAAGATAGAAGGTACTAGGGGCTGGGGTGGGGGAAGTGGGGAGTTGTTTAATGGATACAGAGTTTCTGTTTGGGTTGGTAAAAAATGTTCTGGAAATAGTGGGGTGATGGAAATAGTGGGATGAAGTACATTGTGAATGTACTTAATGCCACTGAATTGTAAGCTTAAAAATGGTTAAAATGATAAATTTGATGTGTATTTTACCAATATATGTAACATTGAGAATGAAAAGAATTGTACTGTACACTCAATTGTAATCCTTTGCTCCCTTCACTTTCTGCCACACCTTTCCAAGATACCTCGCTGCGTTCCTAATGAAAAATGGAAATGGCTGCCTGACTTTCTAACCTTCAGACGTATCGTAATGGAATTTGTTCACTCTTTGTTGATCATTTAGGTTATTCGTTTGTTTTTTTAGTGTTTTGCTCTTAGCTGTTTACTAGCCTTTGCTTTTGAATGGTTTCTGCCCTAGTATCTTGTGGCACTGGTCTTTGGCTTCTGTCCCTTCTTTCCCTTGGCTGGCACCTCTCCTTCCTCCTTTCCCATTGGCTCAGGGACTTCTTGTGAAAGACATATTTGACCCTGTGTGCCTTACCCACAGCCATGGTTTTACCATGTGACTGCAGCCCCTGGCCCTTTGACCCAAGGAGGAGAGTTGTAACCTGGAGCCAGCTATTTGTCTCTAGAGAAGCTAAACTAAGAGTCAGAAGAAATTCCCAGGTAGGTGTGGGGAGCCAAGCTGACAGCCACCCAGACTTGGGGCTGAGACCA